GCCCACCCCAAATCCCTGCCCCTCCAGCCGGAGGCCGGCAGCCAGCAGCACTGTTAAAGCCAGGGCAATCTTCCCTCAGCGGCACTAAACCCCAAGCAAGAGCCCTCGGAGATGCCTGAAAATAAAAGGGTATCGTTGGACAAAGCCGGGGTTGGATGCAATTTGCAGTTTTTCGGGGACCCAACCGGAACTGCAGGACCCATGGACAGCTTGAACAGGTGGGTCAGACCCGGGGTGCCCTGAAGGCAGGGATGTGCATCCCTTTCCTGGGGGAAAAGAGTTCCCGAGGCTCCGAAGTGACAGCGCCTTCCCGCCCGGAGAGACGTCCTCGCCCAGGCTCAGGGGCTGCCCTGCCCCGGGCCGGGAGCGCGTCCGGCCACCGCCTCCTCCTGGGCCCACACATTCCTTTTGCCTTTCCACAGTGACAGTGACCCTGATGTGCTCCTGTTCTCTCAGTGTTCACTTTGGGGTATCAGTTGGGGCTGGTTTAGATTCCACAGCTCCACTCAGGGTTGGAGATTTGGGGCTGTGCTTCTCTACTTCCAGCAGGTTCCATGAGGACCCAGATATTCCCATCATCCTTTTTACTTTTCAGGTGAATTCTACACAAGCCAGTCCCCCATTCCCTATCCAGGCTGGAAGTGCTCGTGCCCTTGGCACACTTGGCTCTGGCCAGGCAGGAACTGAGAGCAGGACACGGGGCAGAGTGGATCAGCTCCCCAGGAAACCTCCAGGACACGAAGCTCCTGGACTCTCATTCCAATCCCCGGAACACATTCTGTCTCTGGCAGAAGCCGGGAGCCAAAGCAGATCCCACCTGGCCAGGCCGGATCCACTCGGGGGGAAAACCCCCTGCGCCTGCCCGGGGCTCTGACTCTGCTTGTCCTGCCAGCTCCTGAGCAGTGTCAGGGCCACTGGGAGGGATTCAAAACCTAAACAAACCCCAAATCCCGCAGAGGGAAAAATCCATAGGAAGAAACACATTGCTGTCATAAAAAACTGAAAAATCTGTTAAAAACTCTATGACAACAATGTAATGGGATTCCCAGGGACCTTATTAGTGCTCTTGGTTCCATTTATGTGTGTTTTTAGTCCCTCACTTAGCAGCCTGTAGAACTTATCCTGGGATTTGGAGGTTGAGCAGGGTTTGCTTTGGATTGACCCTCACTTCTGGCCCCAATTTGTGCCAACACAACTTTGGCCAATGTGGTTAAACACGTGAGCTCAGCTCTTCCCTCACAAACATCCCCTCTTTATTCCCTGGAGCTGAACTCCCATTCTGCCCCCAGGCTCTCCACTCACCCCTCAGAGTGACCCCAGCGTGTCCATCCTGTCCCCCGCAGGGCCCTGGGCACACAGGGAGGTCCCTTTGCCCACAGGGCCTTTCTCCTGCCCCTCTCCAGCCCGAGGCTCCTCTGCTCGCTCTCTCCGGCCTCGCCGTCCCAACCAGCTCACAGCCAGCTCAGGCAGGGAAATGACACCAGGGGACAGCTGCAAAGGCACAAAGAGGAGAGCTGTCAGCCAAAGGCACAGAAAAGGCAAAGGCTTCAGAAAACATTTCTGCAACCTGACTGCTAATTATTCCCAATTTCCCAGGGAGAACCCCACGAACTCACAGCCGACAATGCCTGACAGTCCCCTGCAGCCGGAGCTCAGCACACGGACAGAGAGGCAATTCCACCACCTAAAAGGGGAAAATAAGGAGGAAACGGTGATTTCTTGGTTTCCAAGTTGTTTTCAGTCGTTCGAACCCTCCCGGCCCTGCCCGGCTCTGTCCCTTGTGCCCCGCAGTCTCCGCCTGGCGGACACGGCCGGTACTGCAGCCCCGGCACCAGAGGCGCCCCAAAGGACCCCCCGCGCCCCCCGCGCCGGCTCCGCAGCCCCCCTGCCCTCCCTGACACACGGCCCCAAACCCGGGCCCTGCCTGACAAAGCGGGGACGGGGCTCGGCCTCGCTGCTCCCGCGGGGCAAAGCGGCAGCTCCAGGGACACCCCAAAATTAGCCCCTCCTGCCCACTGCTCACAGCCTCAACTGACCTCCAAACACTCGTTCTCTGCCCACCGCGTTACCCCGAGTTTAACACCCCACATTTTCCAGACCTCTCCACCACTGATCACCTCAGTTCACCTC